AAACTGCAGGTGATCATGGACAACACCTCACATCCTCTCCATATCACTGTGGACAATCTGAGGAGCAGCTTCAGCACCAGACTGATACAACCCCGCTGCTCCAAGGAGCGTCACAGGAGGCCTTTCCTCCCAACAGCAATAAGACTCTTTAATGCTTTAATCTAACCAGTTTATTATTATATCATGTAATAGCACGTTATCACTTGCACATTCTGATCATTTGCACATTTCTGTATCTCTCATGTATTCTTATAAATTTTGTTGACTTTTTTCTGTATGATATTTTCTATATTTTTTATCTTATTTTACTTTCATCTTATACCCTACCATAATATCCTGTGTTGTCTTTTTGCTTTGTTTACCCCCTTTGTTGTATAATTATGCTGCTGTAACACCTGGATTTCCCTCTGGGATTAATAAAGTCAGTGGAAGGTGATATAACACCTTATAATGCAGTTAGAAGTAGACATAAGAACAATTCATATGTTCTTATTCATGTTAACCATAACACTAGGTTTTACAACAACACTGGGGCTGGTAGTTGTGATAGAAGAAAATAAAATGTAGGTTGAAACTTTCCTGTTATAGTGTATAACATTAGCCGTCTGCTATTTGTTTATGAAATGTTTGACTGTATATATGCATCTAATGTTTGGAGAAAAAAAAGGTTTGTCCATGGCATTATTTTCTGCAATCGTAAAGTTGTTGTTGTGTAACTCCTTAGTTCACGACACAAAATGTTGATTAGTACGTTTCTAAGAGTTTACTGCTCACTGTTGAGTAAACTATTCAGGTTTTACCCCATCAGAGCGAGTAAATGAGGATTTCAGATACACTTAACAGTAATGAATGCATGACAAGAGCACATTTTGACATGTCTGCAGTCGTTTTAACTGCTTAAAGCAGAGGATGTATAAAATATTAATAAATGTTTGACAAAGCAATCCCAACGTAAAGTCAGCCTTCTGACATTTCCAGGCTTGAAACTGCAGCACATGAGCTGCTATTGCCAACATGGATAAAACAAAAAGTCCTTTAAGATTTCACAAAAAGAAGAAAAAAAAGAATCGAAGCACATCTTATTGGATAAAAACTGATAGGCCGTTATCCTATAGAATTCATTTTATTTCAAGTTAATAAATTGGTTCATTAAGGTTTTTTTTTTTTTTTTTAATTTATAGAATTTAATCACATATAACTATAAGACTTCAACCAACCAGACTATCTTTTGATTAACCCTATAAAAATGCATCTAACCCTATTAGATTTAGTTTAAAAAGGACTTTTATAAGGTTAAAGCGACCAAAAGGAGTGACATCATACATTTCAGAATCATTTCAGAAAATCCCCTAAAAATACACCTACAACATGTTATTTTATTCTCAAACATTAAAAATCAATGCAACAATTGTTGAACTAATTACTGCAGAATTAATTTGTACAAGCCTAAAAAAAAATAAGAAAGACAAACCATCTTGATCCAGGAAGATAAAGCAAGAGGTGGTTGTATGTAGAGCTAAATGCACACGTGATGCGTGTCTGTTTCAGTATGTCACAATTAGAATAATCTTTGTTAGATTTTCTAATGCTACTAATATTGATAGAGAACTTTATTGCTAAAATAATTAATTCAACTGAACTGATTGAATGAACACTGTGGTCCATTACTACAGATTTGAAATCGGCCTATTTACACTTCATGCTGGTCATTTTCTGGTATGAAACACTGGATTACAGAAACAAGGAGGTCAAACTGAGGTCACGTCAACATCCCCATCTCCATATCAGAGGGAACCAAATCCATTTTGCCAAAATCCAATCCAACATTTCCAGTCTTCTTGGAAATTTCCATATAGCTGTATAATCTCCCACCTGCAGATCTGTCAATGACAGTTATTGACTCGTTATTGTTACATTTTGTTCGTCATTCCTTTATTTTAATTGTTAGCGTCTATACAAAGTGGCTTCTCTTTAGTATTTCCATGTCAAGTGCCGTGAATGTAAAATATCCTGGGTCTCGTTTGATTTCAGCGCTTCTACAAGTGGACAAAACGTTCCCATCATGCATAGTATTTCTCCGAAGACCCGCTTTATGAATTTACGAGAGCACTAAAGGCAGCAATGAACCCGCAGTGTCCATTCCATCGCAACACAATTAATTGCTCATCACAGCTAATTCTCATTCAGCAGATATTGATTTGGCCTGAGTAAAACTGTAATTACGTTGTATTACTTACACTGTGATAGACTGCGGGGCGCTGCGACTGTAAAACACCGCAATAAAAATTGACTCCGAGTACTTTGATAAGCTGTTTGTTCACAGAGCGGACGGATACGTACCTCTGGATGAAAAGCACCTTTAACAGCAGAAGCAATTTCCGTTTAATTTCCTATTAAATGAAATTGCTTTTTTTCTATCCACTTGGTGATTGTCTCATATGTGGCCTGATTTACTTCAAGAATGTTAAGTGAGATGCACAACAGATGACAAATTATTTATTTAATTCATTTTAAATGTGGTCGTCTTTAGTATCAGTCTTTTAATTTCATACATGTCACTGAACACACTGGGAAAAAATATTTTTTTGATACAGTTTGAAACATTTATTTTATTATTATTATTATTATTATTATTATTATTATTATTATTATTATTATTATTATTCAGTTTACAATTTTGTTATCTTACAGATTTTCCCTGTTTTGTTCAGGTGCAAATAATACAATTGCAGGAAAAAGAATTTATTTACATGTTAGCTATATATATATATATAAAAATGTTATGGTAAAAATGTTAATATCTACTTTTATTATAAATGACTGTAAAATTAAGCTCTTTCTACAGAAAATAGTTATTTTAAAGATTTTTTATTAGTTTAATAGTTGTTGTTTTTAAAAAAATAAAAAATAAAATACAGAAAAAAGCTTGTAAAATCACCGAAAAAAATAATATAAACAATTTTAAAAAAATAATTAACCATGTTTTTGTTTAGTTTTGTTTGGGGCTACAAGGTGGCTCAGTGGTTAGCACCATTGCCTTGCAGCTAGATCAGGGGTTGGCAACCCGTGGCTCCAGAGCCGCATGCGGCTCTTTCGTACCTCTGCTGCGGCTAGTTGTAGCTTTGGAAAATAAATAGTGAGTATTTTAATTTAAATATATTTTATTTTAGCTCGTTAGTTTTTTAAAATGTAATTCTAAATTTGAAGATTTTTGTGAACTTGCTGAAAATATGCGTCATAACCGGCGATGTGCGACACTCCCCACATGTGCAGTGTTTCCACCTGGATGACGTTCTCACTAAATCTGGCAACTTTCCAAATCCTCTCGGCAATTTTTTATTTATTTATTTTTTGGGCTAAAGCGACTAGCAACAAACTCTTTCTGGTGTTATTGGAGACTTTTCAGGTCTTTTGGAGACTCTGATGTGAAAACACGTCTTGTTCTGCCGTTACTGTCCTGAGCGAGCAGCTGTGCTGCCGTGAGCTCCTCCCGTCCCAAAGCGCTCACAGGCGGTCAGGAGTCTGGTCAG